CATAAGATATGTAATACTACAAACTAGAGTGATCTAAGTAATTAGCTCCTGGGATTTATGTAAGTTTCCTAAAAATGAAAGAGTCACTAACTTAAGTGATTTATGAATTATCTAAAAAAATGGGCTTTGAAATTACTTGATGTTTTACTAGTCTCCTTTAATTCATTTTGAGTTTATTCATTGGTGATACAAGAGTTGATGTTCTTGTACATCTCCAATGAGTATATGTTTTTGTACATGGATAACTGTGTATAAGTTCTTTTTACATAGGGTAAATTAACCTATAATAATAATTGTTTTCTATGAGATAGTTCAACTCTTGAAAATTAAAATTTTGAGATATATATCAAGATTTTATGATGGAGGAATTCCAACAAGGCCAATTGTTTTACTCCAATAAAGCTATAAACTTGTAGTTTATTAATGTGCATGTGCAAAGGGAAATAGTAGTTATTTTGCTTATAACTCACCCATATCTAGAGTTAATGCATTGTGCAAGTAGATGTTTTAAATAGTATATAGATCTATGGTGTGTTTGGTATGAAGGAAAATGTTTCAATTTTCTCGTATTTAATTGACATAAATGTTTTCCTAATCAACTTATTTAAATGATTTCTCTTTTTTTTTTAAAAGTAAGAAAAATAATTTCCAAAATCATTTTGAACCTCACATCTCAACTTTTCATCCTAACTTAAGTCTCGGGTATCGATTCTCAATACTAATCTTAGATCTGACTCATGAAATTTAAATAAGAAAATCTTTGACTACAATTTATCTATATGTTGTTTGATATTTTAAATTGTAAATTTTTGTGACTTATATTAATTGTTTTTCATAGTTTCTAAATATGTAAATTGATTTTCAAAAAATTGTATGTCCGAACTCCGTATACACGGCAAAATAAATATCAAAAAGAAAAATCAAGAGCTTTTCTTTTTTGTACTCTCGTATATGTTTTTATCAGAACACTTTCTTACCTTGAAGATGATTTTTTTTTTTTTTTGGGTTAAAGCGATATTATATATGACAAGATGATATGTAAAATCTAATATGTTTCAAGTGGTTATAAAGTGATGTTTCTACAACTCTGTTGATCTATTCCATATCTATATTGAGAGTCAGTCAAATAGTTGGAAGATTTCTTGATACATTAATCATAAGGAAATTTTAATTGAAATCACCTAGCTTTTTGTTTCTGTCGGAATTTGAACTCATAAATTGAGTTCTTGATGTTACCTTTTCGTAAAGTGAATAAGCTATTGTTATTGAACCAACTTTAGAGCTACATAAACTTATGTCAATTAAAACTCTATTGATAAACATGTGCAATCTTAAAGATACATGGCCCTAGCTAATCTTGGTTTTGCTTGAGCAAGAAGTGGTAAGGTAGAAAAATGATTAATCTTAGATGACTCAATTAAATCATTGCATGGTGAATTTGGTGGTAAACTCCAAGTAAATCCTTGAAGAAGCCTAGCAAGTAACATTGTAGTAATTGTTGAGCCAAGTTTCACAGCTGGACAACCTCGTCTTCCAGTACTAAATGATAACAAACGTAAGTTAGAATCAGTGAGAACTACTTGATCACCACCATCTTCCATTTTGAGGTGGCGCTCCGGCTTGAAATTTAATGGATCCTTCCAAATTCTTGGATTCCGGCCAAGTCCAAGACGACTTAATAGCACTACACTCCCTTTAGGAATGAAGTACTTTTCACCGACGATGGTATCAGAGATAGACACGTGAGGAACATTAAAAGGCGATATTGGATGGAGTCGAAAGGCCTCTTTTATGCAAGCCTTGACATAATTTAGCCTTGGCAAATCTGATTCTTGAACCAATCTATTGATCCCAACAACAGTGTTGAGTTCTTCTACGGCCTTCTGCATTAATTTTGGTTGATTCAACATTTCTGCAAATGTCCATTCAACTGCATTTGAGGGATTATCCACTGTTGCCAACATGAGTTCCTGTACATTATTTGTTTGTAAACAATCATATTGTCATGTCAACACTTTCTGATTAGATGAGAATTAAATTATGGTTTTTATTTTATATTTTGAGTTGATACATTGTCTATAAATATACAGTCTATTTAAGGGTCTGAATTAGTATAATTCATTGCCTATTTGGTCAAGTTTTTGGAAATCAAGAGTGTTTAATTTATTTTAGATAGTTAAGGTGTTTGGTCAAACGTTTAAGAGAATAAATATTTTTGAGTAGTATCAGAAGTTGCTTTTCACAAGCTAATTTTTTTTTCTTTCAGAAAACACTTTTAAAGCCTTGGTCAAAATCAATTATTGTACTAATATTGATAAAAATGATTAGCTATATATAAATGACTATCCTTCAAAGTACTTTTCTAGAAGTACAAAACGACTTTCAAATAAGCAAATTTTGAAAGGTTAGACCATAAAGGTGATCACACAATTCACAATAGTTTAGTAATTGAATGTATACTTACAAGCACTTGTGCCTTAATCTCTTTAACATTCATCAATGGATTTCCATTGATATCTTTGAGCATGATAAGAATATCAAGAATGTCCTCTTCCAAAATTTTGTTGTCATTTTTCCATATTTGAATCCTATGATCAACTTCAATATCAATATATTTTGTTGCTGTAGCATAGGCTTTCTTGATAATTGCTTTGTGACTATCCAAATCAAATACACTTAACCATGGTAAGTAATCTGATACACCAAAAGAATGAAGATATTCAAGAAGTGTAAAAAGTGCATCGACTTCTTCTATAGTTTCAAATAAAGCGGATTTCTTGCTGAAAATCATATTCCTAATTACATTCCCACAATAACATCTTGTCACTTTCCTCAAATTACTACTAATAGACTGATTATTGTAAACAAATCGATGAAGGTTGTCAACCTCTTCATCCCTTTTACAACGAAGCCATTGAAATGATGATGGTGATAGCACATGAGAAGCAAGAATTCTCCTCATTTTCATCCATTGATCACCAATGGGGAGGAAAATAGAAGTTATATAGCTATTGCTAATAAGGCTCGCGGACATACAAATAGGCCTGGATGAGAAAACAGAGTCTTGAAGCTTCAAGAACTCGCAAGCAAGCTCAGGAGAAGTTACAGGAATGACATGAACATTACCAAGACGAATGCAAGCAATTTCAGTATCCATTTCCTCCACAATTTTGTGTATCCAATGAATAAATGATGGCTTATTTTTTAGAAAGATTTGAGGAAGGCTTCCAATTATAGGCCATGATTTTGGACTTGGAGGGAGTGGTTTATTGTTTCTTATAGTACTATTCCATTTGTTAAGAAATGAAGAAGTAATTGTAGACTACCATATGAATAAAGTTTGTAATTTTTTTTATCATAGTTTCCTTGTGATTGCTAAATCTTATGTTTTCCAATATTTATAGGCTCTGCATGAACTTGCAAGATAAGGTAGTGTCGACTAGTATTTATCAAATAAAAAAAAATATCATTTTTATTAGAATTGACTAAACATAAAAGTACTCTCTGTCATATAGTTTCAATGTAATATGTGGCCTTAGAGAGGCCATGAATATGTAATAGTTACGTTCCCTTTATATATTTTAAATGGTGTGAATACCATTGGAGTGTTAATAGTGATAAACCTATAATAACTCAAAGGGGAAGTTGACAATATGATATATATATATAGAGAGAGAGAAAGAAATGCATCATTATATAGTTGGCAATGATTATTTTATGATGGAGGAATTCCAACAAGGCCAATTGTTTTACTTGTAGTTTATTAATGTGCATGGGCAAAGGGAAATAGTAGTTATTTTGATTATTAGTCACCCATATCTAGAGTTAATGCATTGTGCAAGTAGATGTTTTAATTAGTATATAGATTTATGGTGTGTTTGGTACGAAGGAAAATGTTTCATTTTTTCATATTTGGCTGGTATAAATATTTTCTTAATCAACTTATTTTAATGATTTCCCTTTTTTTTTAAAAGTAAGGAAAATATTTTCCAAAATCATTTTGAACCTCACACCTCCACTTTTCATCCTAACTTAAGTCTCCGGTATCGATTCTCAATACTAATCGTAGATTTGACTCATGATTCTCAATTCGAGACCCAACTCTCGACTCCCATTTGAGACCTAACTCCCAAGTCAAGTGTTGGGGTTGGATGTCAGGGTCGAATGTCAAAGACGGATCCCGTTTCGAAAGTTGGGTCCCGCATTGGGCTCATGTCCCAATTCAAAATAGAGTATCAATTTTGAGGTTGAGTCTCAAATCAGTGATCGAAAATCTTAAATTGAGTGTCAATGTCAAGGTTGGATCAAGGTTCGGGGTCTTGGGTCTGTATCAGATCTTGAGTTAGGGTCGGGGTAGGGTCAACTGTTAAGGTCGAGTCTCGGGTCAAGTCAGGGTTGGGGTTGAGGCCGGGTCTTGGGTCGAGGTTGGGTGTCAGGGTCGGTGTCGGTGTCTGATCAGGTCGAGGTCAAGGTCGGGTCTGAAGTCTCGGTCGGAGTTGGAGTCTAGCTAGTCTTGAGTCAAGGTCAGGGTCGGGTGTAGGGTTGGGGTCTCAAGTCGAGGCAGGGGTTGGGGTCGGATCTCAAGCTGGATGTCGAGTCGGGGTCATAATGCTGGATCGATTATCGAGGTTAGTTTATCGGTCAAAAACTATTTTCCTATAAAATATTTTCTACTCTCTAGCTAAAAATAAAAGATATTTAAAAAAAAATATTTTTCATTCACTAATCATACACTAGAAAATATATATTTTCCACTCACCAACCAAATATGAGAAAATAAGTTAGAAACCAACTTTCAAAACAGTAAGGACACACATGTTAACCCAATGATCTATTCATATGATACTTTATTAAATTAAGTAAACAAAATAACAATCTTTACATTTATAGGATGAAAAAGCAGTACTATAACTTAAACCACATGGATTATAATATATCCTAACACAAATAATTACACACACTAAGACTTGGACAGATGAATACAAAAAAAAAATATTGTAGCTTAAAGATACATGACCTTAGCTAATCTTGGTTTTGCCTGAGCAAGAAGTGGTAAGGTAGAAAAATGATTAATCTTAGATGACTCAATTAAATCATTGCATGGTGAATTTGGTGGTAAATTCCAAGTAAATCCTTGAAGAAGCCTAGCAAGTAACATTGTAGTAATTGTTGAACCAAGTTTCACAGCTGGACAACCTCGTCTTCCAATACTAAATGATAACAAACGTAAATTTAAATCAGTGAGAACTACTTCACCACCATCTTCCATTCCGAGGTGACGCTCCGGCTTGAACTTTAATGGATCCTCCCAAACTCTAGAATTCCGGCCAAGTCCAAGACGACTTAATAGCACTATACTCCCTTTAGGGATGAAGTACTTTTCACCGACGATGGTATCAGAGACAGACACGTGAGGAACATTAAAAGCCATAAAGGGATGGAGTCGAAAGGCCTCTTTTATGCAAGCCTTGACATAATTAAGCCTTGGCAAGTCTGATTCTTGAACCCATCTATTGATCCCAACAACAATGTTGAGTTCTTCTATAGCCTTTTGCATTAAAATTGGTTGATTCAACATTTCTGCAAGTACCCATTCAACTGCATTTGAGGGATTATCTACCGTTGCCATAAAGAATTCCTGAACATTATTTGTTTGTAAACCAATCATGTCAACACTTTCTGAGTAGATAAGCAATAATTTATGCTTGAATTTTATTTTTTATGATGAGTTAATACATAAGGTAGGTGGAAGGGAATGAGAATGTGCTAGTTAGTTTGGCCAAATTTTGGAAATGAAAAGTGCATATTTTAGAGAGTTGATTTGTTTGGTCGAAATATTTAAGAAGAATAAGGGGTCGTTTGGTTGGGAAAGAGTTATCCCAGGATTAGTTATCCTAGGATAACTTATCCCACCATGTATATGGGATAATGTATCCCATCACTATAGACGATAAATTCTTTTCTAAATAAGCAAATTTTGAAAGGTTGATCAGATAGTCTATCAATCATAAAATTAGCCAAAGGTGATAAAACAACACAACTTTGTTTTATCACATGATTTATAAGTAATTGAATATATATATATATACTTACTAGCACTTGTGCCTTAATCTCTTTAACATTCATCAATGGATTTCCATTTGTATCTTTGAGCATGATAAGAACATCAAGAATATCCTCTTCCAAAGATTTGTTGCCATCTTTCCATGTTTGTATCCTATGATCAACTTCAATATCTATATGTTTTGTTGCTGTAGCATAGGCTTTCTTGATAATTGCCTTGTGACCATCCAAATCAAAAACACTTAACCATGGTAAGTAATCTGATATACTAAAATAATAAACATATTCAATAAGTGTAAAAACTGCATCAATTTGCTCCTCATCTTGTTCTATAATTCCAAATAATGATCTCTTGCTGAAAATCATATTCCTAATTACATTCCCACAATGATATCTTGTTACTTTCCTTAAGTTAATACAAGTTGGTTGTTGCATTGATTGTAAACGAATCGATGAAGGTGGTCAGCTTCTTCGTCCCTTTTACAACAAAGCCATTGAAAAGATGTTGGTGACAACACATGAGATGTAAGAATTTTTTTCATTTTCATCCATTGATCACCACTGGGGACAAAAATTGGGGTCAAGTAGCCATTACTAACGAGGCTCCCAGACATACAAATAGGCCTGGATGAAAAAATAGAGTCCTGAATCTTCAAGAACTCACAAGCAAGTTCAGGAGAAGTTACAGGAATTACATGATAATTACCAAGACGAATGAAAGCGATTTCAGTATTCATTTCCTCCATAATTTTATGTATCCGATTAATTAATGCATGCTTATTTTTTAGGATGATTTGAGGAAAACATCCAATTATAGGCCATAATTTTGGACCTGGAGGTAATGGTTTATTGTTTCTTACACTACTAATATTCCATTTCTTAAGAATAATAGAAATGAAGATTGTCAATAGAATAAGAAATAATGAAGAATGTACTGTTATTAGAGATAACAATAAGAATAAGGTTTGATATTTTCATCATTTTCCCCTTGTGATTGCTAACTCTTTTTGTCCATATGGGAATATAAAAATGTAGGGGCAATTTATGGTATGCTAAAGTTAGAGAAAATGATCAAAATGGTCCTTCTAGAGGTTGAATTATGTTGGTCATTTATATATGTCACCTTCTAGAGGATTTTGGCTGTGAATAGAAGAATAAATCAATTGAAAATTGGAGAAAAAATGGTGGAAGAAAGAAATGGCAGAAGAAAGAGGGAGGAAGAAAGGGTCCAACAAGTGTGGGATCCACTGTTAAGTTTAACAGAATAATTCAACCCCTATCTTCGGATAAAATGCAAAATTATTTTTTTTATTTTTTATTTGAAAGTATCAAATAAATTTTGGAATTATTTATTCTACCGTTTATATAATAGTAATAAAATAAGTTATTTTATATACACAGTGATTAATTTATTCTTAAATAATTCATTCTAAAACAATTGATTTTGAGATAATTCATTCCCAATTAAACTATCCCTTAAGACTATACTATTTTTTGTTTTCTTAAAGTACTATGATATCCCATCTACTCAATTGCGCTATTTTTCTATTCCTTTGGTTTAATTCATAATATATTTTTTTTAGAAATTATAAATATATAATAAATCATTTTATTTGCATCAAATATAATCAACTTTTCATTTTTGTAAAAAAAAAGACCCAAAATCAGCTATACAAGCAACACAACTTATTTTTTTAAAAATGGTCATAAATATATATATATATATATACTAGTTTTGACGCACGTGCGTTGCACGTGAATATCAAATCATGTACTACACTATTTTTAAAAATAATGTGAATATAAAAAATAGAAAATTTGAGTAAACAATTATAAAATGAATGATAAAGTATAAGTTCCTATAAATAGTGGATGTAAATTTTCTTATGTTTACTATTGAAAGTTAGTCACTCTCAAAATCTCTTAGTTACACCTCTTCAATATACCTTCTCCTTCCTCCCCCATAGTGAGTTATTTATTTATTATTGTATTGTTGGAGTTCTTACTTTTAATATAATATAGTATAATATAATATAAATATTGATATAGAATATAGAACATATACTAAATTGGATGGTTTTAATTGGAGTATTATATAATTTAACATTGATGTTAGCAAGTGTTTAAATTTCACTGAGTAAATCAAACTTGAGTTTTAAGAAGAGAAGAATAGAAAACATAAAAAAATCATAGTTTAAAAATGTGAGGAAACCCCTCCATTTATACTTAACAAAGGCTGGTATGAGCATATTGTTTCTTTTCATAAAAGTCATCACCCTTTGGAAATGTCACAATTCAATAGAAAAGTCCTAACTCTTTGGAAAAGTTGTAATCATTTAATGTGAAATGATGTCTTCTTTTAAAATAATATATTATAATATAAATAAATATAATATAAAATATAGTAAATTGGGTGTTTTATGAAGAAGAAGAACAATGAAAAACTTTATAAAATTGTAGTTTGAAAAATTGAGGAAACCCCTCTTTTTATAGCCAACAAATGGTAGTGCATGAAGGAATGCTTATTGTCCCTTTTTAAAAAAAAGCCACAACCCTTTAAAAAAGTCACAACCCTTCTAAAAGGTCACAACTCATAGAAAAAGTAATAACTCTTTTGAAAAGTCACAACTCTTCAGAAAATTCATAACTCTTTGGAAAAGTCGCAACTCTGTAAAAAGTCACAACCCTTCAAAAAGGTCACAATTCATCGGAAAAGTTATAAGCCTTTGAAAATGTCACAACCCTTCAATGTGAAAAGCTAATTGTTTTTAATATAATATCAATAAATATATTTAATACAATATAAACTATAGAAGATATACTAAATTTGGTGTTTTAAGTTGGGGTTTTTATTATAATTTAATATTTAAGCTAGGAATTTATTATTTTAAGGTAGAATAGATATAAAAAAGAAGAAGATAGATATAGATTTGTCTTATTTTAATTTGATATGAAATTTTAATCAAAGAAGACTTTTAATTGAAGGATATGTAGAATATACAAAAACGTCCTTTAACTTTGTGGTCTTTAAGATGTGCCCCCACCCCAAGGATAATAGAACATTCTATATTAAACTGAATAAAAATTAAAGTACAACAAATAAATTAGAAACGGATGAGTACCTATTAAATCTAGTTTGGACTCTTCAGACAAGTTTTTGATCAAATCATTTTTCTTGAATAGTTTGAGATTTTGCACAACTTCATGAACACCAAGTTGTAGTTTGTGCAACAAAAAATCATTTAACTTCTTGTCAAGTTGATGTTGTTGCAAACGTATATTTATTACTATGAAAATGAGAATATATTAATTATCTAGATAGTCTTCTAGTTTGAGGTTGAGTATTTCTATTCTCCTTGTGGCATCAACTTTTATTGATCTATCTAGTTTACCCACAAATATAATTGTAATTGCATAATTGAACAACTCTCACAATTTTTCTTGTTTAAGAAGACGAATAGAAAAGTAAAAAATTTGTAGTTTAAAAGTGTGAGAACACCTCTCTATTTATAAACAACAAAGGATAGTATTAAAAGGTATTGATCGTGCTTTATCAGATAAGTCACAACCCTTCAGAAAAAATCATAACTCATCGGAAAAGTTACAAACCTTCGAAAATGTTACTACCCATTAATGTGAAAAGGTGTCAGCTTTTAAGTTGGGGTATTATAGTAATTTAACATTCAAGTTAGGGAGTTCATGCTTTTAAGGTAGTACTAGTTTTCGAACACGTATGTTGCACGTGTATTCCAAGCTAAGTAATAGTTTATGTGTGATGAGTTATATGAACTTTGAAAGGGATAGGTTACCTTTTGTCTGAATATCGTAATTCAACTTTGAAGGTATCCCTATTTAATTTTTAAAACTTACATGAGTATTATTAAACACTATGATTTTGCGTTCCAAAAATCCATTGTTGAAGTTGTTCAATTGTCTTCTTAATTTTCATTTTGGGGTGTCATACAATTTTTTATTATCACTACCTTTAGTGAAAAATAACCTCATAATTTGGAGCATACATCCCAAAAGAAGGAATTTGATTGAAGAGTAAAAATATGAGTCCAGAGTCAAAAGGGCAAAAAAAAATTGTCAAAAATTTCAAAAGGGCACACCAAATTTTTTTAAAACCAAAAGGGCAAAATCGCTCCTGACGAAGTGATTTTCCTCTGACACAATGACTAAAAATCGCTGCCCTAACAGTGATTTTGTCTAAAAACTTTTTTTTTTAATAAAAAATCGCTGCCCTAGTGCTATTATTTTCATGTCTATTGTTAATTATTAATAATATAAAATGCCTATTCATACCTATTGTTAATTATTAATAATATAAAAATGCCTATTGTTAACCTTTTGAAGGGAAAAAGATTATTTTTTTGATAAGATCGCTGCTAAGGCAGCGATTTTTATTAAGAAGTTGCGTACGTCATGAGCCGCTAACAGTAAACCGTAGTACTATGACACGACAATTTAACATAGGCCACTTGTTTCCACTGACATTGCTTAGGTCATCTGAATGTGACCTATAAATTATTCAAATAAATAAAAATCGCTGCTAAGCCGCAATTTTTGTTAACAATAGGCATGAATAGATATTTTTATATTATTAATAATTAACGATAGACATTTTTATATTATTAATAATTAACGATAGATATGAATAAGTATTTTTATATTATTATTAATTAACAATAGACATAAAAATAATAGCACTAGGCATGAAAAACGCTGTCCCTGCAGTGATGTGTAAAGAAAAAATAAATTTTGACTTAACATCGCTGCCACAGCAGCGATTTTTAATTAAAAAAAATGAAAAAAAGTTTTTGGACAAAGCAGCGATTTTTAGTCATTGTGTCAGAGGGAAATCGCTTCGTCAGGAGTGATTTTGCCCTTTAAATTTTAAAAAATTTGATGTGCCCTTTTGAAATTTTTGACAATTTTATTTGCCCTTTTAGCTTCGGACTCGTAAAAATATGATGTCTGTAAACTTTACGTGGGCATTCAATTTGATAGGATTTATTTAGTTTTTCATTACTTTACTTTAAGACATTCTATTTATCTAATAGTATAGCTAGATAGATGCATATTAAAACCTTGAATATACTTTTTTCCTTTAAGGCTTGTAGCTCTAAACATGCAATTATTGTATTTCTAAAGAATAACATAAAGGGAAAATACATAAAAATCCCCCTAAACTTGGCAGGATAACTTACTTTAGTACTTAAACTACACGGGCGTTTATTAGTTATTTCATTATAACTAATGCTTTAGCGAGATCTTTTAGGGTTGTAAAATACCCAAATTTGCCTTTTTTATGTTACTTTCATTTCTTCATATAATAATGGGTATCAGCTGTTTGTGATGTCTGCTTTTAGATCTTCAAGTCAAGTTTTTGTTTATGATTCTTTGGTTCATTCTTAGAGTTAATT